AGAGTTTGGCTATTACCCATTTACAGTGAGAGGGAAAAATAAGCTGCCATCTAGTATATTCAAATTGTAACAACTAAAATTGTCTTCTGTACTTTTTAACAAATAGAAAATTTGTAGTTAAATAAATTTATAAAAACCCAGAGCCGAGTTTCTTATTATTAGTTGTTCTAGTAAACCTTTTTTTTACAATTACAGATAAAGTTTGGTCTTTTAAGACAATTTATGTTAAATTAGCCTACCTTCCACACTCAAAGTCCCCATTTTAGACTCCAAGAAATCAAATAATGTGCTTGGTGCTGATGGCCTTGCATTTCCCAGTTCTTCTTCATCTTCAGATCTTATTCGTCCCCTGCCTTTTCCTTTGCCTTAAGAAGTAAGACATATAAATTGTATATGCATAAACAAAAGGAGAAAATACACTAAAACATAACTAGCAGATATCTTAAGTAGGATTTTGTATATATTTCTTTTCATATTTTTGTACAGTTTAAATTATTCGTAAGAAAATTTTTAAATGACTGTATTAACTAGTACATTTAATTCTCTAAATGATCTATCTAGAAATTTAAATTTTTTCATATAAATTATCTTTAAAAAAATCATTTTCACACATTTTTTCTTTACCCCCTTATTTTTTTAAAAGAATATAGGATTAGGAGTGGGAAAAAAATCACATAATACATTTGACTGTGCAATTAAAAATCACATGATGCATTCAACTATGCAATTAAAGAATAACATTAAATAGTCATGTTCTTGTTCATTTAAAAAGTTTTCAGACTCTTTAGTCATTTATACAAGTGGCACGGTACTAGGTTAATAGAACTAGTCACTTTATATTTCCTGTAGTTTATCAACCCTGTCAAATAAAGTATTGTTAGACCTACTTTATATAAAGATGAAGACAATGAAATGCAGCATAACCTGCACAGGTCTCTGTAGTTCTAAAATTAGAAGAACTTATCACAATGGTAAATAAAGTTAACAGCCATCACAGCAACAAAACCCAGGCTCTATCAACAACATATATTCCTTTGAAAAGCAAACAATGCTATGTGGCACATTGCTTAACGAGTTATACCTCTCAGAGGTGGACCCGAAACAGGTTTTTGTTTATTGCTGTTAAGAAGTACATTCAGTGCTGCTTCTAAGTTGTTGCCATTATCCATAAGAGCTTGCCTTGACGCTTCCTTACTAAAGCCCATTTCTGTTATGTGCTTCAGAGCCTTCTCATCAACCTGTTAAGAATGAAGAGAAAAGCTAGGCTGATAGGCAATAAATAAAGCAAGTTATAAATTTTCAACTGTACATTGTTTAATTTCCTTTTTATTGAATTTATTGGGGTGAAACTAGTTAACAAAATTGTATGTTTCAGGTGCTCAATTCTGTAACACATCATCTATACACGGAACTGTGTGTTTATCACCCTGTCTCCATCCGTCACCATTTATCCCCCCTATACCCTCTTCTCCCTCCCCCCACAATCACCACACTGTTCTGTGTCCATGAGTTTATTCTTTTTTGCCCAATCCCTCCACCATCTTGCCCCTAACCCAGCTTGCCACTCCACTCCCGAGCTGTCAGCCTACTCTCTCTGAGTCTGTCTCTACTTGACTTGTTCATTTTGTTCATTAGATTCCACATGTGAGTGAAATCATATGGTACTTGTCTTTCTCTGACTGGCTTATTTCACTTAGCAAAATGCTCTCCAGTTCCATCCATGCTGTTGCAAAGGGTAAGTGTTCCTTCTTTTTTTATGGCTGAGTAGTACTGCATTGTTTAAATGTACCACACTTCTTTATCCACTTATCTATTGATGGACCCTTGGGCTGCTTCCAAGTCTTGGCTATTGTAAATAATGCTGCAATGAACAGAGGAATGCATACACTTTTTCAAATTAGTGTTTAGGGCAGTGATGGCGAACCTTTTGAGCTCGGCGTGTCAGCATTTTGAAAAACCCTAACTTAACTCTGGTGCCGTGTCACATATAGAAATTTTTTGATATCTGCAACCATAGTAAAACAAAGATTTATATTTTTGATGTTTATTTTATATATTTAAATGCCATTTAACAAAGAAAAATCAACCAAAAAAATGAGTTCGCGTGTCACCTCTGACACGCGTGTCATAGGTTCGCCATTACTAGTTTAGGGTTTCTTCAGATAAATTCCCAGAAGTGGATCACAGGGTCATAAGGCAGTTCCACTTTTAATTTTTGAAGAAACTCCATAGTGCTTTTCACAGTGGCTGTACCAATCTGCATTCCCACCAATAGTGCACAAGGGTTCCCTTTTCTTCACATCCTTGCCAACACTTGTGGTTTATTGATTTACTGATGATAGCTATTCTGACAGGTGGTTTTAATTTGCATTTCTCTGACAGGTAGTGATGTTGAGCATTTTTTCATGTCTACTGGCCAACTATATGACCTCTTGTTAATCCTCACCCAAGGACTGTTTTTCCCCCATTGATTTTTAGAGAGAGCAGATGGAAGGGGGGGGGGAGGATGGAGAGGAGCAGAAGGAGGAGGAAGAGGAGGGGTGAGGGAGGAGGAGGAGAGGAGAGGAGGAGGAGAGGAGAGAAGAGGAGAGGAGAGGAGAGGAGAGGAGAGGAGAAGAGAAAAGAGAAGAAAAGAAAAGAAAAGAAAATTGTCTTTTGCTCTTGGCATTTTAATTATGATGTGTCTTGGTGTGAGCCTCTTCCATGAGAGAGATACATGGATTGGTTGGTCAATTTTGTTTATCTTTTCAAAGAACCAGCTCTTGATTTCAGTGATTTTTTTGGTAATATTTTTAGACTTTATTTTTTCTGCTTTCCTTCCTTCTATTTACTTTGCACTTTGCTTGTTCTTTTTCCAGTTTCTTTAAGTGTAAAGTTAGACTGTTTTATTTTAATTATTTTAAAAATATAATTTAATTGATTCCAGAGAAAAGAAAGGAGAAGAAAATAGAAATATCAATGATGAGCCCTAACCAGTTTGGCTCAGTGGATAGAGCATTCGCCTGTGGACTCAGGGATCCCAGGTTCGATTTCGATCAAGCGCAAGTACCTTGATTGCGGGCACATCCCCAGTGGGGGGTGTGCAGGAAGCAGCTGATCGATGTTTCTCTCTCACTGATATTTCTAGCTCTCTATCCC